CTCCAGTTCCTTGTCAATCGCGCGGACAAATTTCAACGATAGCTCATAGCAGGTTGTCACGTCGCCATCGGTTTCCTGCCCTTTCAACGGCCGCTCGTGCAGAACGAAAGTGAACGACACCGGATTTCCCTCGCAGTCAACGCCTTCAACTTTCATCTCGCGCTTGTCCTGCTTCTGGTGCTTCAAGATGAAATCGGGAAGAGTCATGTACTCCCCGCTTCCAAAGGTGTGACCAGGTGCCCCGCTCAGGTACCGCGCCTTCAGCCGCATGCGCGTCTGCTCCACGATGTGCGCCACACACGTGACGTCGATCTGCATCAACCACAAGGAAGCGACGGTGGGGTGTAAGGGGCAGTGCACTTGTTCATTTGTCTTGTCACTGTAGTTAAGCTCAAGTACTGACCTGTCTTTGCTGGAACCGCTGGTTCAAGTGGTTCAGCTCCCACAGGATGTCAGCAAGAAAGCGTAGTAGCCAATGAAACTTGAACGAGGTCACAACCTCGTACAAGTCGGGCTTGTAGTCCTTAAGCACGACGATGGCGGCTGGCAAGACCTCGAGGAGCCGGGCAACGGCCTCGCCACGCGACAGCCACCGGACAGTGTGTATTCCCTGCGCCTCAAGATTCGTCTTGCAGTACACTCGTTGCAGGTTTTGAAACTTCTGGTACTGCACGCCGCTCCTCCCTATAAGCTCAGAAAACGCACGGACGACATCGTCTATCATGTTCAGCTCAGGGACAGCTTCAGCGGCATCTTTTGCAGCAAGTGCCTCCCTGCATGCTCAAAACAAGATACATGAGTTCATATCCTCTGAACTTGAAACTACCGAGCATAGACATCATAGTTACCGATGCGCGATGCAGTGTGTTGACGCCAGGTGAGGTATACGCATTCTGAGCCGCGCCACCACTCCATTGTTCTTCCCCACCATTACGCTCGCTCCGTCGGTCGCGATGCCTGTTACTTTCTGCAAGTCCACACCAATACCGGCCAGGTACTGCACAACAGCGGAGGACAAAGAAGCAGCGTCGGCGCGATCCACGGTTATCAAGGTGAGGAACTCGTTGACGACGGCCCTGTTCTTGAGGTACGTGACGTAAATGATGAGGTGTTTGCCGTGGATGCGGTCAGTGCTTTCGTCGAGCGAGAGGGACATCCACGGCGATTCCAGAATGTGAAGCCGCTGCGTCTCCTGCAGGCACGCGGATGTCGCACGAAGGGATTCCTTGAAACCGTAACTGCAACACATACAACGCACAATTTAGATTAAAAACTCCCACTAACAGTCATTCGAAAAGCACAACAAACAACGGACAATTGACGTACTCAGTGTAGTATGCACCGTAGCCGCCGTTGGGGGGAAGATCTGGAAGTCCCTCCTTAGCGAGAAACCAGCACAGGGGGACGAACATCGCGATGGGTGCGTCGGCCTTGCAGACGAACATCGCGATATGCAGGCAGCGGATGATGTGGCGAGTTGACGCATCCGTCTCCTGCCACCTTGTCAAAGTCACTTGCTTCTCCTTTGCTGCAAGTGACCGAGCCTCGCTCTCCAGCGCCTGTTTATGTGTTCGGGTGGATGAGTGAACACGGATGGTTCCAATTTGCAAGTCACGGCCACCCTCACCCTTCACGCCGTAGCTCGTGCGAGCGGTAGGATCGCCGTACTTCATGCAGACACTGCATTTCAGCGAAGGTCTCCCGTTGGTCTGACGATGTAGCCGTAACCATTCGAATTTCCCTGCCCACTCAGTATCGTACCTGTGCTTGTACGCTGCGTACTCAGCTTCAGCGGTTTCGGTTGGTGGTTTGGGATCGGCACGAGCTTCGGTGCGCGTTGGTGATGCATCGTTCTTTGGTGGCGGTGCGGCCCAGAGCCTCTGCTGAGTGTATTTCACCCCGATCCTCGGCCTTTTGCCCGGCGTGCTGTTCACGGTCGACGGGGACGCAGTAGAAGGCCTTGAGCTGCCGTCATCGCCGCCAGGAACAAGAACCAGCGACAGGTGCGGCTCAACAGCATTAGGAGAAGTGGGCCGCTCGACTGCAAACACATAGCCGACGCTTCGCACGGGCGAGGCGTCACGAGGCGGCTGTGCGATGGGAACGGTGAAATTATCATAAATCTTGGGAAGAACGCCAAGAACTGAGAGCCCGTTTCTTGAGCCCCCAGACGGTTCCGAATCGGGCTCTTGCTCGGCTGGCATGACTGGCTGGTGCTACTTCGTGAGAACTCGGGGAAGTGCAAGAGAGAAGTGAGAGAGATGATTTCCGGTTGGAAAGGAAGGACGGAGGACCCCCTCCGCACCGCGAAAAGCTGTACATGCAGCGAGGGAAACCATGGCAGGTACAGGCTGTTACGTGATGGCATGGCATCTGCCGCACTGGGCAAGACGAGCCATGCATCGCGCCAGTTTTGCCGTGCTGTGGCAAAAACAGCCACAGTTGGCAGAGACTATGAGCTGTATTGGCAGCAAACACGGGTGCGCTGGCACGATTCTTGCCAAAAACACCAATGGGTGCAACTTTGGGGTCAGTGGGGGGGTTTGGCAGTTTTTCACCATAGGGCAGGTGCGACAAGATGGGAGAGTGGCACCGCGTCACAGGTGCAGTGTATGTGTAGTGTAGCAGAATCCTCGCTTCGAGGAACTCGGTATCAGGGTAAGTGTTGAACAGTAGGCAAAAGTAGGGCCTAGGCTTAGTAGCCTAGGCCAAGGGGAGTCGACGTGGTTTGTGCCAAGGAGAGAGAAATGGGAATGGTGTTCACTATAGCACTAGGGTACATATAGCAAACAAAGAGGTGCACCACCTATAAAGCTAATATCTACACTACAGCTAGAACTACATGCAGGTATAAGAATATAATTCTGACATCCCCCAGTAACTGCATGCAGGAATAGCTAAGTGCAGAACACAACCTGCAGAGGTACACCACAGACAGAGAAAACAGCAACAGCAGGTAAAGCAGCAAAGGGGCAGGCACTCCTGCCACCCCTTTACTCTCCTCCCCCCCCCCCCCCCCACCTCAGAGGGACAGGGGCTGATTGGTCTCACACCTGCCACCCCAATGCCACTCCCCTGGCTCCCCCACACCCTCACACCCTCCCCCCAGCGGCAGCTGCAGCAGTGGGAACGAAAGGAGGAGGAGGGGAAGGGAAACATACCACCCATCACCCCCATACCCGCCACCCCCAGACCCTCCGTTCCACGGCTGCACGCGCAGCAGGGAGACGAAGAAGGGGAGGGGGGGGGGGGGGGGGGGGAGAGCAGCAACGGGCAGCACAGGCACGGGCAGCAACGGGTCCAGGGGCGGCTTCGCGGGGTCCAGGGGCGGCTGCACCAGGGGCGGCTGCTCCAGGGGCCAGGGGCGGCTGCTGAGGTCCAGGGGCGGCTGCACCAGGGGCGGGTGCTCCAGGGGCGGCTGCACCAGGGACGGGTGCTCCAGGGGCGGCTGCACCAGGGGCGGCTGCTCCGACGTGCGCCCCCCCCCAGGTCGCGGCCCCCCAGGGCGTCGCGGCGGGCGACGGGAAAAGAGGGGGGGGGGGGGGGGGGGGGTGCGCGGACCCCCTGTGTGCCCCGACAAGCGACGAACCCGCCGCGTGCCTCGGGGCGCACGACGGGCAGGGCACCGTCGCGCGCCACGGGGCGCACGACGGGCAGGGCACCGTCGCGCGCCACGGGGCGCACGACGGGCAAGGCACCGTCGCGCGCCACGGGGTGCACGACGGGCAGGCAGGCAGGCAGGCAGGCAGAAAACCGCCGTGCGCCCCGAGCACACGGCGGGCAGAAAATCGCCGCGCGCCCGAGGCGCGCGACAGGACGACAGGCAGCGGAAGCAGACTGGTGGGCCCGTTAAGGAAGGCAGCAGGAAGGTGACTGCTCTGAATACCATGTTGAACAGTAGGCAAAAGTAGGGCCTAGGCTTAGTAGCCTAGGCCAAGGGGAGTCGACGTGGTTTGTGCCAAGGAGAGAGAAATGGGAATGGTGTTCACTATAGCACTAGGGTACATATAGCAAACAAAGAGGTGCACCACCTATAAAGCTAATATCTACACTACAGCTAGAACTACATGCAGGTATAAGAATATAATTCTGACAGTAAGTGGGAAAGAACACTGATGAAGTCAGGGGAACGAAACGCGAACTTTGATTCTATAAGGGTAAAAAAATTCAAACAAATTTCCAGTCAGTGTTTAAAGCCTGGGAGTCTGACTGCGTCAGGGTACTTCAAAAAAAAGCGGCCGCCAGTCAGGGCAATCAGGGTAAAATACCCTGACATTTTGGGGCCTGCTCTCAGCAGATACGGTAGGTACCATAGATTGTTACGCTGCAGCATTCTGCATAGGTTCAAGTGCAACACTGAGTGAGGAGGTGCTACAGAATACATCCTGTATTGAGTCCTGCATGTTGCCATCTTGTGAGACGTCTAAAAATTTGAGTCCTGCATGTTGCCATTTTGTGAGATGTTCTAAAAAATTGAGTCCTGCATGTTGCCATTTTGTGAGACGTCTCAAAAATTGAGTCATGCATGTTGCCATCTTGTGAGACGTATCAAAAATTGAGTCATGCATATTGTCATTTGTCAGAATCCCAACCACTAGACAATTGGGATAAAGGGCTTGTTAAGTAGCGGATCAGTGCGCCCATACCCCCCAGATCAACATGCCTGTAACCCTTCCCTAGGATCACTCGGGGATCACCAGTAGACCTCTGACACCATCTTGTGAGACGTCTCAAAAATTGAGTCCTGCATATTGCCATCTTGTGCGATGACTCAAAAATTGAGTCCTGCATATTGCCATCTTGTGCATCGAATTCCTAGCCACTCCCAGCAGGGGAGACTTTTACAGGGGAATGTGGTATCTAAGGGAAGGTGATATCTAAGCTGAGAAGGGAGAGAGGGCGGGCTTGTTTGTCTGTGCCTGCAGCAGGAGTGCCTTCTCCACCCCTCGAGCACCTCAATTACTCCCAGCAGGAGAGGCTCTAACAGGGGAAGGTGTTATCTAGGCTGAGAAGGGAGAGAGGGCGGGCTTGTTTGTCTGTGCCTGCAGCAGGAGCGCCTTCTCCACCCCCTCGAGCACCTCAATCACTTCCATGAAGGACGGGCGTGACATGGGGTCAGCCGCCCAACAACGGGATATCAAACTAGGGAGTGAGGGAGAGAGAGGGAGCAGGGGAGCGGGGAGAGAAATAGCAAGAGACATGAGTGAGGACGGGCGAGCCATGGGGTCAGCCGCCCAACACCGGGATATCAAACTGGCGAGGGGTGAGAGAGCAGGGGATTGAGGAAGTAAGCAAGCAAGGGCGAGGGGAAGAGAGGGAGAGAGGTAGACATGGAAACGGAGGAAACAGGAGAGAGTGAGTGAATAGAGGGGGAGGGAGGGGAAGCAGAGATGAGAGAAAGCAGGAGTGCCTTCTCCACCCCCTCGAGCACCTCTATCACTTCCATGAAGGATGGGCGTGACATGGGGTCAGCCGCCCAACAACGGGATATCAAACTGGTAAGGGAGAGAGGGGGAGAGGGAAAGATGGAGTGAGGGAGAGACGGAGTGAACAGTGGAGGGAGAGACGTGGGAACCGAGTAGCTACTTCTACAGCACCTGACGCAGCACCTGACGCAGCACCTGACACAGCACCTGACACAGCACCTGACGCAGCACCTGACACAGCACCTGACACAGCACGCATGTGACACAGCACCTGAAAGAGTTGCTGGCACAGCACCTGGCTAGGACATGAATCAGCACCTGACTCAGCACCTGACAAAATACCTGACTCAGCACCTGACACAATACCTGACTCAGCGACACAGCACCTGACACTGTGACTCACTCGTTGACCCTCAGGGTACGACTTGGATTTAAAGGGTGGCCTGATCCCCTCCATTGCCACCTGGAGCCCAAACCCTCAAAACCATTAAACCCAGAGCCCTGAAACCCTGGAATCACGGTGCTCAAAAAACATTTTCACTTACTCTTTGACCCCCTCGGGGTATGCCTTGGATTTGAAGGGCGGCCTGATGCCCTCCATTGCCACCTTCCATGCCACCCCCTCTGGCGTCATGGTCTTGGCAAAGGGCGGTAGACCCTCAAACATCTGAGAAAGGGGTGGAGGGAAGCAGAAGGCAAGGGGAGGACGGGGGAAGGATGCGATAGGAAAAGTCGCGGAGATGGGATGGGGAGGCAGCAGCAGGGAAGGGGGGGACCACAACAAGCAACATCTCAGACGCATCTCACCTGGCAAACGAATCTCAGCCGTCCATCGCATCTCACCTCGTAAAAGATAACGGAGAAGGAGTAGACGTCCACCGTGCGGTCGTATGCCTGGTGCTTGAACACCTCTGGGGGAAGGAGCAGCGGCGATCGCAGCCGTCCATCTCACCTGACAATCGATCACGGCCGTCCATCACACCTCACCTCGTAGAAGATAACGGAGAAAGAGTAGACGTCCACCGTGCGGTCGTATGCCTGGTGCTTGAACACCTCTGGCGCCATGTAGCGGTCTGGGGGAGGTACAACGGAGTAGTGGTGGTGAGAATGAGAAGAAAGGAGAGAGAGAGAGAGAGAGAGAGAGAGAGAGAGAGAGAGAGAGAGAGAGAGAGAGAGAGAGAGAGAGAGAGAGAGAGAGAGAGAGAGAGAGAGAGGAGTGGATGGTGAGCGGTCTGTGCGGTCGTATGCCTGGTGCTTGAACACCTCTGGCGCCATGTAGCGGTCTGGGGGGGTGGAGAGGAAAGACGGAGCAGTGGTGGTGAGAAGAATGAGGAGGGAGAGAAGAGAGCATATGCGGAGCACTTAGTGCGGTCGTAGGCCTTGTGCTTGACACCTCTGGCGCCATGTAACGGTCTGGGGGAGATGGAAGGAGGTGGAGGGTAGTGGTGGGAGGTGGAGGGTTGTGGACGGAGGTGGAGAGCGGTGGAGAGAGCAGTGAGTGACTATTGCCACAATAAATAAATAAAATCATTCGCTCTGCACTTCACCTTGACCAATTTACTCACAACAGCTGCCTGTCTCCCCAGTCATCTTGTACATCTCATGCAGCGCATGCACCTTCACCACCTTGCTCTGCCCAAGTGTTGAGACGTCCCAAAAGCGGCCCCTGTACCCACACCTGCCAGTCCCCCCAACGAAGCTACTCCGGCCTCCCCAACAAATCTACTCACAGCTGCCCGTCTCCCCAGTCATCTTGTACATCTCATGCAGCGCATTGACCTTCACCAGCTTGCTCAAACCAAAGTCCGCCACCTTTAGGTGATCCCCCTCATCCCGAATCAGGTTCCTGGCAGCACCAAGCAAGCAAGCAAGAAGCGCCAAGGATGGAAAGGAAAGCAAGTGAGCGTTGCTTTTCCACAAAACAACACTCCCATGAAATTAACCCCGAGTTGGGTGGGCGCTCAATCTGGAGAACGAGGTGACTTTTGAGTCGACTCGAAACGAGGTGACTTTTGAGTCGACTCAAAACGAGGCGACTTTTGAGTCGACTCAAAACGAGGTGACTTTTGAGTCGACTCAAAAGTCACCAAATTGACCCCGAGTTGGGTGGGCGCTCAATCTAGAGAGGGACATGAAGGTCGCTTCAGCTCGCTGATTATTGCCTCAAGGTTGAGACAGATTATAGCGGGGACACAAATTGCAGCTTGCTTCGAGGCCAAGGAGCCTTGGTTTGACCTTGTGTAACAAACACGAAAACATTTGTAACAGGCTAAGAAACAAGAATGCATGTTTTCATTTACATGCTTGAAGCCAAGGCTTGGCCAGAGTGTAACAAGCATGAAAACATACATTCTGGCTTAACTCACCTTGGTTTGAGGTCTCTATGAATGATGGACTCAGGCTTGTGGTTGTGTAGGTAGTTCATTCCCCTGAGGGAAAGGAGGAGGGGGAGATGTGGTGGAGGGGAGGGGGAAGAAGAATTTGAGTGGAGTTTGGTTTGAGGTCTCTATGAATGATGGACTCGGGCTTGTGGTTGTGCAGGTAGTACATTCCCCTGAGGGAAAGGAACGGGGGATGGGAAGAACAGGCGAGGGAAACGGGAGGGGTGCATGTTGTGAGGGACGAGATCAAGGCCATGCTCTAGTGGTTGTGCATGTTGTTTGTTGCCTTATATTCGAGTCCGTACCCCGCCCACCTCTGATCTGGGGGGTTTTAAGGCCTGCAAAAGCCAACCTAACCCCCTCACGTGCCGATCCCAACCCCCTCACCTGAAATCCCAACACCGCAGCTTCCTATCCCAGCCCCTCACCTGGCGATGTTCAACACGTATCCCACCGCAATTCAGGGCGGGCGCCCGGGCACATCATATTCCGCCCCCATTAGCCCTTCAACAATCTCCCCCCTCACCCATTAGTCCAGTCCATATTTCACAGCTATTCTGGCCAGGTGGAGGGTGCACCCTAATCCGGCCCGTCAGTGGCCCTTCAGCAATCAGCCCCTCTCACCTCACCTGGCAATCCCAACCCCCTCACCTGGCAATGTCCAGCCCGTATCCCACCGCTATTCTGGGCGGCAGGGCGCCCTTGGCCTTGAGCACATCATGTAGATCGCCCTGATGGGAGGGGGAACGTAGGGAAGGATGTGTTGTGGGGGGGAAGGGGTGTGGGGTTGATGAGATGAGAGAGGGTAGGAGGGGCATGGCAGGGCGCCCTTGGCCTTGAGCACATCGTGTAGATCGCCCTGATGGGAGGGGGAACGTAGGGAAGGATGTGTTGTGGGGGGGAAGGGGTGTGGGGTTGATGAGATGAGAGAGGGTAGGAGGGGCATGGCAGGGCGCCCTTGGCCTTGAGCACGTCGTGTAGGTCGGCCTGAGGGTGGGGTGGGAAGGGGGAGGAGCGGTGTTGGGAGGAGGGAATGGGGTGATGAGAAACAGGGCTTTGCGGGGAGGATGGCAGCAGGGAGGACTGCACTACTATGCATCATGCACCATGCATCATGCATCATGCATCATGCATCATGCACCATGCATCATGCACCATGCATCATGCACCATGCATCATGCACCATGCATCATGCATCAACCGTTCAGCATCATGCCGCCACTCACCCCAGGCAGATACTCGGTGACAAGGCACAGGGGAGGGCGGCGAGTGATGCAAGTGTGGCATATACAACCTTACAGTCTGCACAGTACCAGCATCAAGCCGCCACTCACCCCGGGCAGATACTCGGTGACGAGGCACAGGGGAGGGCGGCGAGTGACGCACCCCAGGAACTGTACAATGTTGGGGTGACGCAGCTTGGGCAGTAGAAACATTTCGTCCCGGAACTCTTTTCTGCCCATCATCAGGAAAAGTTGAAACGGAAAAAAACAAACAAACCAACAAACAAACAAAACAAAACAAGGAGAGAAAGGAAAATGAACAAACAGTTGGCCGCTTTATATTGTATGGGCGAATAGCCCATCTGGAGTGAAAGCGGACAACAAAGAGTTATATATGTATATATTAAAATCCATATTTTTATTACTCCCCAAAATGAACCTCACGTGATTTGCACGTCATCTGATAGGCCTGGAAGGATTGTCTTAGCTGCCACGGGGGTGCCTCTCCACATGACCCGCCTGATTTCACCGAACGCACCCTGGGATGAGGGGAGGGGGGCCGTGGAAAGGGAGCGAGGAGCGAAAGTGGGAGGGAGGGAGGGATGGGGGAGGAGGGAGGGAGGGATAGGGAAGGAGGGAGAGGGGAATGAGGGAGAGGGGAATGAGGGAAGGAAAGAGGGCAGGGCAGAGATTTTCTTCAAACTGCTGAAGTCCATCTTGCACAGAATAATGTCCCCTCGCCCCATGGATGAACATCCATCTACCACATCCTTGCTCCCACTCTCTCATTCTCACACACACTCACTCACACTCACTCACTCACTCAAAACGCGTCACAATTCAAACATCGATCCTGCAAGGGATCGATGTGTGAGTGTACAGTAGATGTGCGAATTCACGAATTATAGGGTATCTTTTTTTGTTAGCTTTCACGTGAGCTCATGTCACAATAAGATCGTCCGTTATCGAACCGCCACCGCACTGATATCCCGCTTCAAGCATTCACAACGCTCAGAAACAGTAAGAACTCCGTCAAACATGGATCCTCCAGGGCGATCTTGTTCCACGCTGGTTGAAACCTGGCTGTGGCGACCGATGCTCACGATTTCGGTGTTCGATCCCGATCCTAATCCGGTGTTTCAATTGTGACGCGTCCTCACTCACACTCACTAACTCACTCACACTCATTCACTCACACTCACTCACTCACACTCACTCACACTCACTCACACTCACTCACTCACACTCACTCACACTCACTCACTCACTCACACTCACTCACACTCACTCACTCACTCACTCACACTCACTCACCCACTCACACTCACTCACCCACTCACACCCACTCACTCACTCACACTCACTCACCACCCACCTTGTCAATGAGCTTTGACTTGCTGAAGTCCAACTCGGATGGGTCTATCTCCCTCCCAGTCGTCCCATGAATCAACACACAGACACCCTTGGCCCCACTCTCTTTCTCACACACCTACTCACCCATTGAACGCTCTCTTACTCACTCGCTCACACCCACCTTGCCAAGGAGCTTTGACTTGCTGACGTCCAGCTCGGATAGGTCTATCTCCCAGTCACTTCATGGATGAGCAACTATACACACACGCCCTTGACCCCACTCTTATTCTCTCACTCACTCGCTCCCTCACTCACTCACTCACTCACTCACTCACTCACACCCACCTTGCCGATAAGCTTCGACTTGTTGAAGCCCAGCTCAGATAGGTCTATCTCCCAGTCGTCCGCTGATAGAACACACACACACACACACACACACACACACACACACACACACACACACACACACATCCTCGCTCCCACTCTTTTTCTCTCACACTCACTCAATCCCTCGCTCACACCCACCTTGCCGATAAGTTTTGACTTGCTGAAGTCCAGCTCGGATGGGTCTATCTCCCAGTCGTCCGCTTCTGCACCCTGTGAGGATGGAGTGAGGTTGGGTGCGGTTTGGTACGGTTTGACAAGGTGTGGTGTGATTCAGCTTGACGGGGTGCTGGGTAGGATTTGCTTTCGTGATTTTCAAAACAGTGCATCTTCTTCCCTTCCCCTTATCAATGCAATACATCTCTCATCTCCGTTAGCCACTCATCTCAACACTCACTCATCACATGCACTTCGTCCCACCAATCCTCACCGCTCCTCACCGCTCCTCACCACTCACCCCCTCAATGCCGCCATGCTTCAACAGCACTTGAATGATCTCCGAAAACTGCCCTTTCTTCCCCTCCCGCCTCGCCTTGCGCGCGTCTGTCAGTGGCTGTGCGGTGGGAGAAAGAGGGGAGGGGAGAGGGGAGAAGTGGAGGTTGTTGGGAGTGGGGATGTATGGGCAGGGGCACACAAGGGGGCATCGATAGCATGGACTTATTCAGTCGACTTTTGAGCTGTCGACTCATAAGTCATTTAGACCATACCACCCGCCACAACCCCCCCCTCCCAGCCCCTCCTCCCCCTGTTCCATCCCCCTACACCCGTCACTAACGGACCGTGCGCCCTCATCTGTCGCGCGGGTTGCCTCTCGCGCCCACCCGTGTGTTCCCCACCCCCATCCGCCCTGTTCCCCCCTCACACCCACCCCGATCCAACTCCCCCACCCCACTCCCCCCTCTGCAGCCGTCACTAACGGACCGTGTGCCCCCATCTGTCGCGCGGGTTGACTCTCGCGCCGCGCGCCAGCAGCAGTTTAAGCACGCCCAGGTGGCCCTCGCACGCCGCGAGGTGTATCGCGGACCGCCCGTCGTAATCCGCGCTATTGACGTCCGCGCCTTCGTCTAAAAGCCTCGTTAATTCGTCCACGTCGCCTTGGCTCGCGACGAAGATCATGTTCGTCATTCGCGAAAGCTGGTCCTGCCACTTGCTCTGCGACGACGACCCCTGCGAGTGCGACGAACCATGCGACCCGTGCGATCCGTCACGCGCGCTTCCCCCTCCGCCATCGCCGCCGCCTCCGCCGCCGCCGGCCCCGCTGTGGCTGGGGCCAGCAGCAGAGCTGCCGTTTGCTGCGGCGGGAGACGCGCGCGCTCCTGATCCCGCGGTTGCGGGGCTTCCGCCGACTGCTGCTGCGGGAGCTCCCGCGGACGCTCCGCCAACTCCCCTTCCCGCCCCCATGGGCGCAGCTTCCCCCTGCTGATGTCACTCCGCCTACCCTTTCCCCCCTTGCGCGCACTGTATCACCGCGCTGTACTCCCCAGTCCTATCTTGCAGCTTCTACGCCGCTGCTACAGCCGCTGCTACAGCCGCTGTTACAGTCGTTGCTAATGACGAGCTAGTGTTGAGATGCCACGGGCCGCCTGCAGGGAACACACCAACACTCCTCCTCGTCGCGCTTACTACCCTCGCGACATTTCTATCGTTTTTTTCGCACTCCGTCGCATGGCGACGATCCCTCGTCGCTGCGTCTATGCTGCGCGACAGCCAGACTGTGCGGGAAAAGGAGCGAAACCTCGTGTTGCTTCCTTCACGCCAAGTAAGCGAGGCCTAGCATTGCTTCGAAGCGCTTTGTGATAAAACAGGACGAGAACCGCGTCGTTTCAGTCAAGCAGGAAAAGGCAATCAGCGTAGCTCTACTGAGGACTCTCAGTGATTCCACTTGCGTAGCTTGTGAAGCAACGTCAGGCGGGAAAGGCGGAAGTCACCAGGCGGAAAGGCGAGCGGAAAGACGGGTAGGGCGGAAATCACTGAGGCGGAAAGTACCGTACGCCCGTAAGAACCTTTGCACAATGCAATGAGCGGAGAGTAATTCTAATGCGCGATCCTAGGTGGCGACAACGATCTGCGCATGCTTGGCGGATCAAATCGAGCTAGCTATTCGTCGATGCGGCTCGTGTGGAGGCCAGGAAAAACGTTCAGAAGTGGCTATCAGGCACCCCGAAAGCCCACACGAGACGGTCTTCCTGGTACTGAAGCTAGTGCACAGACTTGTAGAGTACATAATCACGATTCTCACGTGACCACTCTAAAAACTACCTGCCAAGTTGAGAAAACGCGGGAGTATAGTGGTGTTGGGGAAGAGAAGGCAGAGTAGCCAGTTGTCATGAGGCGTGCTTGGCGGGAAAAAAGGGTAGCTGCACACTTGAGAGAGCGTTCCGCCCGCACGTTCGTCTGCTGATTGTTCAGTGTGTTTCAGTAAGTTTCTGCGCGTTGAACAACGGTAGTGGCTCAACCTGAGACGATTTCAAGGCGCTCTGCTGCAACCCCCTCCCAGTGGGCGCCAGCGCGAATCTCAATCTCTGCCAAACCTATATTTTATGGCAACCCGGAGGGACAGTTTCATACCTACCCAGGAATTGACTGAGGTGCGGTGCATAAGGATCGCTCTAGTTCGGTTGGAGCCGACTGTCGACACAGCCCAAAGGGTCATCGGGAATCCACCCGAGGATGTTTAAAGCCTCTGAAGCATGCGGCTAAGAGACGTTGTTAGTGCATCTGGTCGCAGCACTGCGCTTCTGAAAATTCCCAAAGGCTCAAGAATGGGTCCCGTCCCCGCATTCTCGGCGTCGGCGCAAGGGTACAAGTTCCGCCTGCTGTATCCGGACTGGGCGCGTTGCTGAGAGAATTGCTCTAGTGCCTTGTTTGGTGATTCGCGTTTGCCCACGTGTCCCCGAATTGCTCGAGTGGCCATCCAATTCAGTGATAATTGCTCGAGTGGCCATGCCAGGGCATTTTCGAGGTGTTTTTTTCCCTGGCACATAACCCTACAAGGGTTTGTACCCCCGAAATTCCTCGTTCGCACAATAGTAGATGCGCGGTCATTTTCGGCCCAATGCGCGACCAATGAGCGTGTGGGCAATTACATCAGCGATCATAAACTGCAAATCCAGAGCATAAATGCACGAACATATTATTGATCGCGCACGATTGGTCGATAATATGCTTCTTGCCCTTTTTGGCAATGCGCGTCCAATCACGCACGGTCATATAATTCACGACCATATATTTAGGCGATAAAGGGTCGCCCAAAAACCAATATGAGCGCGCATATACTACCATTAGTTCTATCATATGTCCGGTCCATATAAAACGATGTATATCAAATGCCATAAATATATTATCTGCTATTAATTTAAGCCCATCATACTAGACATAATATTGTATCGTAGCCTATCATAATATTAATTTAAGCACATCATACCGTGGTCCATAATATTGTATTGCCGGTAATATGGTTGCAGAAATAATATGTTCAGCAGCATAATATTAATTTAAGCCCAGCACAATATGCTGCCACCATGGTTATGATATGCTTAAATTAATAGCAGAGAATACATTTATGGCATTTGATATACATGGTTTTCGATGGGCCGGAAATATGATAGAAATAATGGTAGTATATGCGCGCTCATATTGATTGTTGGGCGACCCTTTATCGCCTAAATATATGGTCGTGAATTATATGACCGTGCGTGATTGGACGTGCATTGCCAAAAAAGGCAAGAAGCATATTATCGACCAATCGTGCGCGGTCAATAATATGTTCGTGCATTTATGCTCTGGCGTTGCAGTTTTATGATCGCTGATGTAATTGCCCACGCGCTCATTGGTCGCGCATTGGGCCGAAAATGACCGCGCGTATACTGTTGTGCGAACGAGGAATTTCGGGGGTACGAACCCTTTAAGGGTTATGTTCCAGGGAGAAAAGACACCTCGAAAATGCCCTGGCATGGCCACTCGAGCAATTATCACTGAATTGGATGGCCACTCGAGCAATTCGGGGACACGTGGGCAAGAGCGAATCACCAAACAAGGCACTGGAGTAATTCTCTCGCGCGTTGCTTGAGCGCGGTTGATCTGGTGAACCACGTGGATAAGGCACCCCGGCCCACGTGGGGGAGGACCGCATTTTCGCTATATACATTTCCTCGATAACCATTATTCCGAAACTACACTCATACTGAAAACTGTGCGTGCTCCCCAGTTTCCATAGGTATTTCAGCGGTCTGCACTGTTATCCAATTCAATCCTAAAACTCCCCAGCTCCTGCCGCCCATCGCACTGGCGCTCAAGCTGCTGCTTTCGCAACTGGCTGTTTGCTCCCATCCCATCCAGTGTGGGTATTTGTTTAGTTGATTGCTGGCAGGTATTGCTGCTGCTGCATTTCATTGCTAGCATCCAAGCTGCTGCTTTCGCTGGTTGGCGTTTCTGCTATTCCGCGTAAATCAGGCTAAGTGTAGTCGCCGATTAGGCGACAATTTTGCCAGGCGTCAGCGCCATTCAATCCGGGTCGCGCAGTGTGCTTTTGTTATGAGCGAAACAGGTGGCTACATAAACGCTTACTTAGTCATGAGGGTTTTATTTGGTTGTTAGCGTTCTTATTGAAAACTTTTCCGGGTCAACCTGCTTTTTTTCTTTTTGTTACCAGCCTTAGCTTAGTCAGCCACTTCGACGTAAATTTGCCACGAATCCACGTGGCAATAACTCAGCCATTCATGGACACCCCGTCATCTGAGCCCGCTCTAAACTCTGAAACTTCCACGTCGGCAGAGGACGTGGAGGAAGTTGAGATTGAGGTGGTTGGCGGATTTTCAGGAAAAAGTGCGCCGATTGCGGCAGGTTTTGCGGGATCGCGGAATCCAGTCCGCGCTGATCTCGTCCGTCCCTAACTTCTTCTGGCTCACATCCGGCGGTCGAAATTACGTCAGCCTTTACACGCAGCAGGTAGGGTTACGCACGAAGGGATTGCCAGACCAAAGAAATGCTGGTTACCAGGTTACCGAAATATCGGAACTCTGAAACATTAACATCTTTGAATTTAACGTCACTGGTAACCACTACTGTTTGCAAATGCCACCTGGGTGCTGCTGGTAACCAGTAAAATCGAGGACATAGGTAATTCACTAACCATTCTACCGTTCAACCCTAGACCCTGATTCCTTCAGGGAGTGGACTCAATGTTTTTGGAAGCCGACAGGGTGATGCTGGTAACCAGTAACATCGAGGCAGAATGCATTACGTGTAACTCCACTGTTCACCACGAGCGAGTTGTCCCTCCCCTCCCCTTCCCCACCCACACTTCCCGCCCTCGTTTCAGGGAGTGGCGTCTATGTTTGTGGACGCGGACAGGGTGGTGCTGGTAATCAGTAACATCGATTCAGACTGCAGCTCGTGTAACTCTACCATTCACCAGGAGCGAGTTATTCCTCCCATTCCCCCCTGTACGGTTTCAGGGAGTGGCGTCTATGTTTGTGGACGCGGACAGGGTGGTGCTGGTAACCAGTAACATTGAGGCGGAGCGAATCACAGCAGAGGAGCTCGCAGGGCTTGCCAGCATTCAGGTGTTTGCCAAGCCATGGTTCTGGGACGACTCTGCCCACTTGAACAGGTGGGATGGAGGAAAAGAGATGCAGTACAGTGAACTTGATAAATTGTTTTGGGTACAGTTGTTTTGGTGCATATCACTGCAACAGGTGAGGCAGGGCAGTGAATGGCAGCATTCAGGTGTTTGCCAAGCCATGGTTCTGGGATGACTCGGCCCACTTGAACAGGTGGGGTGACGGAAAAGAGATGTAGTACAGTAGTTTTGGTACAGTAAACTTGTTACAATATGTTTGGTACAGTAGATTTGGCACCTCACAGTGCAACAGGTGAGGCAGGGCAGTGAATGGCAGCATTCGGGTGTTTCGCCAAGCCGTGGTTCTGGGAGGACTCGGCCCACTTGAACAGGTGGGTGGGGAAAGGAGAGGTATGGTACATTAGTCGTAGCACAGTTAATGTTATACCATATGGTTGGTACAGTAGAATTGGCATAATACACGGTAACAGGTGAGGCAGTGCAATGAATGGCATCAGTCTAGACCAAGCCGTGCTTGATGAACCATGAACCATCCAGGCTCATGAGTCTAAGTTGCGGGTTCAAGTCCGAGCCCAACACAAAGGACATGACCGTTCCCCCCGTCTCCCCCATCCCCCTGTCTCCCCCATCCCCCCATCCTCCCTAATCCCCCCATCTCCCCATCCCCCTTTTCCCCCCAATTCCGCCAAATCCCCATCCAGGCTCATGACTCTAGGTCGCGGGTTCAAGCCCGAGCCAAACACCGGGGATATGACTCGTTTCCCCCATTTCCCCATCTCCCCCATGGCCCTATTTCCCGTAAACCCCAATCCCTCCCATC